GAGAGAGAGAGAGAGAGAGAGAGAGAGAGAGAGAGTATTAAAGCTTGAACCCAAGTTGTTCAGACCAGCCTGGAACTTGTGATCCTCCTGCCTCAGCCTCCTGAGTAGCTGGATTACAGCATGTGCCATGGCATCTGGCTAAATTCTGGGGATTCCTCAGTTCAAGACTCACTAAGGAAGAAAGGTCATTGCTAAGTGGCATGTGTCTATCCAGACCACCTCTGAGATGTCCCTCCATGCCTCCAGCTAAGCCACAGACACCAGGTCACCCAAACAACTTGGCTCGGGCTCTCATGCTGCCCATCGGACCTTTGCCCAGGGTCTGGAGAGCAAGGACAGGCCTCCTTCTCTCTCGATGCCTGCCCATCATGACCCCTCACCTCCCTACAGACTTGACCTGCTGTCAAGTGTCCCCATAAAAGTGTCTGCCCAGTGCTCTCAGATGCAGTCAAGGAGCCAGGCTGTGCCCTGAGGATCACATGCTTGCAAGCAGGAAGGAGCCAGAAGGAAGGAAGGAAGGAAGAAGGAGGTGGAGGGGGAAAACTGGGTAAATGACGGAGGAAGCAGCTACAGGAGACCCAGGCTTCCATCTTGCCGGCCGGCCGGCACTGGAGGCACCCAAGTACCCCAGGATGCAGAGGGTCCCCCCGAAGGTGAGTGTGTCGCTCTGTACTTTCCACAGCAGGCGAATGACTGACAGAAGACGAGAGAGGACGTGGAGGGGTCCTCCTCAAGAATCTGCCTCCAGCAGAAAACTGTTTTCGCTGTCACTTTCCTCCCCCAGAAGCCACCAGAAGGCCCGGACTTAGCTGCTTGAATGAATTAAAGGTAAAAAAGAAAACTGGGATACTGAAAGTTGGAAAGTGTTTAATAAAATATTATTATCCCACCTCGTGGGCTCCAGAACCCCTCCGTCTGGGCAGACAGCCCAGAGGAAGTCCACACGCCGGGGGTCCACCACCAGCCTCAGGCTCCAAGGCCTCTAATTCAGCTCCCTCGTGGGCTGCATGACCGACCCCATGGGCCTCTGTTTTTCCAGCCCTAGCCCTGGTTTGGCCTAAGAGAAATGCCTGGTGAATAGATGTTAAGCCAGCAAAACTCCCACAGTCTGCACGGCCGAGGCTGGGACAGAATGCACAGGACCTTGCTTCCTAAACACACTGGGCTCCAGGAGGCCCAGCCACAGAGACAGGATGTCAGCTCAGTCTCTCCTGAACCGACACTGTGATGCTCAGCTCCTTCAGGGGGGCCCAGAAGGGTCGACTCTGGCTCAGTCCACCTGCAGAGCTCCAAGGGTCGCTCTCCTCTCCCTCGCTCCATGTGGAGCTTGGATACCGCTTGATGCACCTGAGTCTGAACGTGAGGTCTGCAATCCCGTGACCCAGGAAAATTTGCTTTGAAATGACCCTCAAGTTCCTCTTCTGCAAAATGAGAACCCGACTCGCAGGGTTGCTATGAAGAACAAGGAAGATGTTATGGTTTGGGTCTGGGTTGTTCCCTAAAGGCTCATGCGTTGAAGGCTCGGCCCCCGCCCCAATGCAGCAATGTTCAGAGGTGGGGCTCTGGGAAAGTGATTGGGCTCTGACCTCATCAATAGATTAATCCATTGATGAGTGCACAGCTGGATGGGCTGTTGGATGATGCAGCCCAGCTGAAGAAAGTAGGGGCACTAGGGGCAGGCCTTTGAAGCATATATTTTGTCCTTGAACCCTTTCTCTCCCTCTTTCTCCCTCTCTCTCTCTCTCTCTCTCTCTCTCTCTCTCTTTCTCCTGCCATGAGGTGGACAGCTTTGCTCCACCATCCCCTCCTCCATGCTGTTCTGCCTCACCACAAGCCCAAAGCAATGGATCCAGCCAACTATAGACTGAAACCTCTGAAACCGTGAAATCTCTCCTCCTCTAAGTTGTTTTCCTTGGGTATTTTGTCACAGCAACAGAAAACTGACTGGCACAGAGGATCACGGATGGACAGTGCCTACCTACATGAGCCCTTTTCAGTATGGCAATGGTCCCTCTTCTCACGGAAGATTGTGGATACTTGATTCAACCAGGAATTATTTGGGGGGTGGAAGGAGGTAGCAGGGGAAGAAGTCTAGTGAGAATGCTCCCAAACCTTGCAGGGCTGGTTGGTGCCAGCCTGTAGGAATCGCCACGTGACCTCCACCTAGAATAAAACTAAGGGGATATTTATATGGATTGACGTGGGGTAGCATTTTTACTTTAACCGACAGTGATACTATTTGTAAGTAGATTCTCCTTGTCGGGCTCTCCAGGTGGCTGTAAGACCGTCCAGCCAGGCATGGGTGCACACACCTATCACCTCAGTGACTTCGGAGGCTGACACAGGAGGATCACAGGTACAGCAACTTAGTGAGACCCTGTCTCAAAATCAAAAAAAAAATCAAAAGGGCTGGGGATGCGGTTCAGAGATAAAGCACTCCCGGGTTCAATCCCTAGTACAAAACCAAACGAGACCATGTGCTTCCAAAAAGCCGTTTGTACCCAAGTTTAAGAAGAGAGCACTCTAACCAACAATTAGGGTCGTACAACTAAAAATGATGTGTTTGCCAAAAAAGTGAGATTAAACTAAACCAATCTCTGGTTACGTGAGTGAAGCATGAGTCTTGCAGGTGGAGCAGCTCACACCTGAAATTCTGGTGTCAAAGCTTTAAGCTGCCCTATAAGGTAGGAGGGAGACGAAAATGGAAGTTTGTTCGGAGGGGGGGGGTGGGTGGGGTTACCAGCCACAAAAAGTTCTCCTCCAAGTTAAAGAAATGGAGGGTTTTGCCCGGTAGGTAAACCAAAAGATTAAAAACCCTTTGGATATCTGGAGTGCACCTGTATGTGTGACACCGAGCCTCATTTGGAGCGCATCAAGAGGTAAAACTACTGCCCGTCACAGGAGGCTACAGGAAGGTGGGGTTACACTCAAGTCAAGAAAGAGACTTTGGTTCCTGCCTCTGAAGACCGATGTGCATATCCCCGAGGGGCAGCAAACTCCAATAGCTGGAAGATTCCAAGTCTGGGGAGCAAGCACCTGGTAAGGACGCCAGCTCACACCTGCAGGAGGAAATGTGGTAAAGACTAAAGGGACCCTGGTCTGGAGTTCAAGTCCCCACCCCTGCACAGCCTCCTCGTGGATGCCAATGCGGCCACCCTGCACTGGGCCATTGGCCACTTATTTCCACCCAGCAGACCTCAGGAGACTTCCCAGGACGTGAGCCCACAGACCCTCTCCTGGGGCCCCCTAACCGCCCTGGCTCCTCCCACTCTAGGGTTTTGTTTCCCCTGAAGCCTGAGATACCCCAGCAGCGCTTGGAGCTGAGCCACGCTCAGTCTGGAGATAAGAGGAAGAAACGAAGGAGTATTCATGACCCCCAGGAAAGGCTGTTTGCCCGTGCTTTGGGTGAGAACTGGCAGATCCTTTTCCTCTCTCCCCCTCCCTCCACCCAGTCCGTCTTCGTGGTCCGTGCTCAGGGAAGATGATCGCTGTGTCTGTTCCCTGTGGTCGCTGTAACAAATCACCCCAAACCCGTGGCTTGAAAACAACAGGAGGGAATGATCTTAACCGCGCCGAAGGCCCCAAAGTCTGAAATGGGTGTCACTAGGCTGCTGTCGGGGTACCTGCGGGGACTTGCTGCCTCAAGAGGATCCAGGGAGAGCTCCTCCGTTGCCTCCTCTGCGGCTGGTGGCCACCGCAGTCCTGGGCTGACCACCACAGCGCCCGGCCTCGGTCTCCTTGCTCCCACGGGTCCCTCCTCTTCCGCAGGTCAAACATGCCTTTGTCTCTTTGTCAGAAGGACACTGGTGGTGGGATTTAGCAGCCCCCTGGAAACTCCAGGGTGCTCTCCCCACCTCAGACTCCTTAACCACCTCTGCGTCGACACCCCAGACGGCACCATGCGCAGGTCCCAGAGGTCATATGCAGACACTGAGACCCTGTCTCAAAATAAAAAGTCAAAAGGGCTGGGGGTGTGGTTCAGTGGTTAGGGCCCTTGGGTTCAACCTTTGATACCAAAAGAAAAAAGAAAATACATATATATATGTGGGGGGGGGGTATTTATATAAAGGGTGATCCTCAGGCTGGTGCTATTGGGACCTGGTGGAACCCTGAGGAGACGGAGCCCAGATGCAGGTCTCCAGGTCACCGACAGGCATGCACTTGGAGGAAACAACAAGATCCAGCCCTTTCTTCTTCCCCTCTTTTGTTTCCCGAAAGCCACGAGGTCAGCCTATTCCTGCCAGATGTGTTGCCCCATCACAGGCCCAAAGATAACAGGGTGGAGCGATCATGAACTGAAATCTCCAACACCATGAACCAGAGAAAAACCTTTTCCTCATCTTAAGTCAAGCGTCTCAGGCGTTTTGTTACAGTAACAGAAATCTGACCCGAAATTATGCTTCCTTCGCAATGATGGCCACGCCAGCCACACACCCTGTCTCTGCCCCTCTCCTTTCAGCCACACGTTCCTTCTCCCACACTCCTTCTGCTCTGAGATGGAACTCTCCACGAGAGAGGAAGCATGTGAGGCTTTCTTTAACCTCTGTTTTCTGGGGGACCCAGAAAGTAACATGGGTAACCCATTAAAAACAGGGCACACCCTAAGAATGGCTGTCGCAGCTGCCGTACAGCGACGGTTCCTACAGCTTTCGAGAAGCTTTAACTTTTTTTTCCCCCCAGAATATTGCTTAATCATGAAAAGAGAAATTTACGTGCTGAGGAAATGACCATCTATCGCAGTGGGATTTTATACTGCATTAAAAGATTTATTTCCCGCTCTGTGAAACAGCCCTAACAGGGAGACGATTTTACAGTAGAACACCTACTAAATGAATAGAATTAGAAAAAGAAATGTATCCTGTAGCCAATGAGGAAAAAAGTTCCCTGTTATAAGAAAGCTAAATAAATTAATGTACGCAAGTTCCTAACAGATGAAAAGTGCTATCTGCAGCAACCCTGAGTCCTGACATGAATATGCTTTTTAATGTGCTGAAACAAATTACATTTTTTAAAAGAGCAATGTCCTGGATCCTGGGGATAACTCGGAGTAATGCGGCTTCATGGGAGATCACAGAATGGGCCAATACCACCTTCAAGTTCAGTCTGCAAGGCTGTGGCTGCCCGTGTCAGGGTAAGCAGGGGGAATAGGGCAGGACTCTCTACTGTACCTCTCCGAGGTCTTTGACGGTGACTCTTGTACAATGGAAGATTCTGGAAGGTTGGCTTTCTCATAGGCAACTCCACCGGCACTTTTGTTTCAGACAATCATATGACTCTTAGGTTCTGGGATAAATCTGAAAAGAACAAGTATCCAAACACATTGAATATGAAGAAAATGTTGGCAAACTTCTCTTGTTCAAAGGGCAAATATCAAAAACGGAAACATTTAAGAATTTACATTTCTTTTACAAGGCAAGTTCCGTACTTTGGTGGTGGATGCTTACGCTAAGCACATTTGATCATCATCATCATCTCAAAAATTACATGACACGTTATTGAACGAATATAATCTGAATAAAGACTGTATTTAACAGCATCGTTAAATAAGGCCACGTCTAGCACAGCCATGTTTAATTGATGTTACTTAGCTGGACGATTCATATTGAATCATTTTTCACATGCACTCCCTTCAACTTTATGTAAAAATCATAACTTTTAAATTCCCTACACTTAGATTGTCTCCATCATTTACTTGCTGGTACAATCTGCTATCCACATTTCAGTATCACTCTTGCCTCTCATGGCAGGTGCATACCCATGAACTTGGGCACTCATGCACAAAAAAAATAAAACAAGGTGTCTAGCAATATTTTGTAAAATGACGGTATGTTAGTCGATTTTCAATTACTATGACAAAACGCCTGAGATAATCAACTTAAAATAGGAAAGGTTCATTTTGGTTTTGTTTTGGATGTGTCGGTCTATGAGTGGTCAATTTCATTGCTTTTGGTTTTGTGGTGAGGCAACCCAGCATGCTAAGGGTGCACGGCAGAGCAAAACTGTTCACTTCATGACTGTGATGAAAGAAAGAAGAGGTCGGGGTTCCGATATCCCCCTCAAATGCTCATCCCCAGCGACTTGAAGACCTCCAACTTGGTGGTATCTCTTAAAGCTTTTACGAACAATGTCACACTGGACACCAAGCCTTCAGCACATGAGCCTGTAGAGGACATTCAAGATCCAAACTACTGCAAGCAGGATGGGTCTCCCCCTTCCATCTCACCTCTCCTCTCTTACTCCACCCCACAAGAAAGGCCATCTCCTTGGGCAGCACAGAGAAAACCAGGAGGAGGAGCTGTGTACTTCCGGAGGGTTTCAGCCACGGAAAAATCTTCCAACCCTTTTTTGGGGGGGAGGGTACTGGGAATTAAACCCAGAGGAGCTTAATCCCTGAGCCACATCCTCAGCCCTTTATTGTGTTTTATTTGAGACAGGGTCTCCCTGAGTTCCTCAGAGCCTCACTAAATCGCTGAGGCTGGCTTTAAACTCACCACCCTCCTGCCTCAGCCTCCTGAATCCCTGGAATCACAGACATGCACCACCCCACCCAGCTCCATCTCTTCTTTACCCACTCATCACCATCTCTGAAAAGTCCTGCTTTTTCCAGCTCTTAAATAATGTTATAACAAAGAAAATAACTGAAGGATTGGACCTTTTTTCCTTCTTCTTCTTTTTTCTTTTTTTAATCCTCAGTGCCAGGATGAAACCCATGTCCTCACACATGATGGGCAGGTACTCTACCTCTGATCTAAATGTCTAAGCCAGGACTGGACATTTTAAAGCCATAGAAAGTATACATGCCAGGCGCCGTGGCACATGCCTATCATCCCAGCGGCTCAGGAGGCCGAGGCAGGAGGATCACAAGTTCAAAGCCAGCCTCAGCAAAAGTGAGGTGCTAAGCAACTCAGTGAGACCCTGTCTCTAAATAAAATATAAAATGGGGCTGAGGATGTGGCTGAGTGGTCGAGTGCCCCTGAGGTCAATCCCTGGTACCCCCCCCCCTCCAAAAAGTACACAACATAAAATACGTCACGGTGTGCTGGAAATGGCAGTGTCTGAAGGCTGGAACCTTAACATTCAGAGCTCCTGCTGGTTTACTCTTTGGTCTTGGGCATCCTACCTAAGTCTCACTGCCTTATATGCCAAATAAAGATAATAACACTCGTGCTGTTATGTTTCCAGATAATATCTGGACCACAGATAGCTTATGATCTTAAAAACCCAGGGACTCACATTCTCTCACTTGCTCCTCCCAAACACCAGCTGGTGGCCAAAGGGGTCCATCTGTTGACGTGGAAGCAGAAGTCGCCCACGTCGACCGTACAGCATTGACGTAGTGAGTAAAGGCGGACCCCAAGCCTGCGGTTCCTGCCACGTCCACACCTTCTCCAGGTAGCAGCCAGAGGGAGAGCTGACCCCGATCCTCGACTGACACTGAGGTGATCTTGATAGATACACAGTGAACGGGGTGAGGGGCATCGGGCATCCAAACTTTTTCTAGAAGGGGCCAGATCATAAATGGTTCAGCCTGGGCAGGCGGCATGGTCTGTCACAACTCCTTGATGCGGTGACAAGCAGCCACAGAAAGTACATCAACTGGGGTGCCTGAGCTCCAAAGAAGGCTTCATTAAACACCGGCAACAGGTCAGAGAGGTGTCCCCGGAGCCTGGTTTGCCAACCCCGAGACCCCAGCGCCTTTGAGAAAAGTCTGGTCAAGATGCCATTGGAGCCTGGTGGGGCGACCCCTGCCTGTGATCCCAGCAGTTCAGGAGGCTGAGGCAGGAGGATGGCAAGTTCCAGGCCGGCCTCAGCAACTTAGAGAGGACTTGAGCAACTTCGCGAGACCCTGTCTCAAAATAAAAAAAAATAAAATAAAAAGGAGTGGGGATGTGGCTCAGGGGTTAAGCACACCTGGGTTCAATTCCTGCTACCCAAAAATAAAAAATAAAATAAAATAAAAAATAAATAGGCCTTTGCACACTTGGCATTGGCAGTCTCGACCACACCGGACGGGCGCACGCATCTCGGCACTTTGTCTTCCTTGGCTGTCCTTTGATGAGCACCCCCTGGCAGAGGGGACACGGGGGATTTGTCCTTCAGCTGCAGTGATTCTGAAAGACAAAGCAGGGGCAGAGATGAAACCCAGAGGCGAGGTCTTTGTGCCACACTCAGAGCACATCAAGTGCCGCTCTTCAAACTGTGCGGAGCTGGCTGTATACCTTCCTAAAGAAAATGGAACTATTCTTTCCCTGGGCCAGCCTCTTAGGAAGGGTATGGGGGGCCAGGTTGACGAAAGACCCTTATGCACCACTGGAAAGAAAGGAAAGAATGCTCCTTGGCACGGCAGAACCTTTTTCCTGTGAGGCTCCGTGATCACTTGTCTTCTGGTTTCTCAAGCACCCGGTGGCACCCATCCACGTATTAGGCTAATAACGGCCATGAATCTAGTTAAAAGGAACCAAGCAATTATTTTAATTAGCAGAGAACAAAAACAACACTCCTGGCTTCTGTTTGAAGGGGCAAGTAGGAAGTGGCCAAGGTTCAAAAAGATCCCACAAAATATTTTTGTGAAAGGAAAAAATAATGAAGGCCAAATTTAGAAGGTACTGGCGATAAATGGGCCAAATAAAATGAATGGCCCAGTGTGCAGCCAGCGGGACCCATTCACAGGGAAGAGCCCCGGAAAGTCCATTTTTT